CAGACTCCAGCCGCGGGGCGATCGCCTATCAGGCTATGCGACCCTCCGTGCGGAGAAATGGAGCTCCCACAGCCGAACCTCGCACAATGGAAATCTGTTCACTAGATTCTGGAGCGCCTCAATTTCACTGGAAATTCCCAACAAGATAGCCTTCAGCCGTTTCACATCGTCTTTCTCTGGCTCAGTGACGCGGCGCACTGGGGTGATGCACTCCCTTCACCGCCATCTTCCCTCTCTTCCAAACTTTTCCATTTGACGATAAAATGATACAGGTTACTGAATTGGGAACACATCCTTATGAAGCTTTTGAAAAAGACACAAACAAAATTAAAAGTCACATAGATACATTCCTGATATTAAGTTTCAAAGTGAAGTGTGATTTTCAAATATGATATTAGCTATGTAAACTGCAGGTGATAATGGAACAGAACACAAATCATGAACAGAAAAGTAAACTGTGTGGACAGAACAGGTCGAAATTAAGATTGTTACTTCACAAAATGTGAATCACATGAAGTAAAAGCCAACTAAGATTTTTGAACGTCTAGTAATCAGGACCATGATAGAAACCACAGTATACTCATCAAATTGCCAAATCCCACAGCCTCCTGAACCTCATATGATTGGGAGAGTCAAGCCATTTAAATACTGTCAGCGCCTATACAGATGTTGTTGGAATGGAGGGGAATCACAATTAAAAACACACATATCTAGTGTCATTAACTCCTCTCTGTTTTATATGTTCCCCAAAGAAATGCAAGAAACTCTCTCCAATAATCACAGAAAGGCTTTCATGCAGGGGTGAAGGCCAGCGACAGTTCATAGAGATAACGTCTATCAATTCAGGGATGAAGGATTTAGGGCATATTCACAGAAGGAATGCAGGGCAGCAGGAAAACGAGTAACCAGCAACTTCAAGTTTAAGCTCCAGAAATTAGAAAAAGCTCTAGAAGATAAAGATGTCAACTTGAGAAGAATTCATGCAGCATATGCCTTCTACAAAAGCACAAGCCTATAACAACCCAAAGACTGGACTGGTAAATTTAAATCTGCACAGGTTTTAGAAGGTGAAGGATATATGGGCAATGCAGTGATTTTTGGCCTTAGGAGAACTGACATTTCATTAGTCTTGGGAGCATGTATTTTAGGTGTTGAGAGACACTGACTTCATTTCACAATTCATCACGTTAGGAATGTGCTTTAATTACATTTATTGAGCTTCTATCACAGGTTGCGTGGGAAACATTTCAGAGCTCAGTTCTGGAGCACTTCCCACGTCTCCACAATTCTGAACGGAGAGACAGGTCCACACAGGGCCATGCGTGCTCCACACATGGTGGCTCCCTGTGCTGTGGGTGGCAGTTCACCCTGTGCCCTGCACCAGCCTGTGCTGCATGAAGCCTGGAGGAAGGTAAAACCCACAGGGGGCAGAGGAGGCACAGTGGCCTCCTGAGTCCTCAGGGTCCTGCCCAGGGTCAGCTTGGATCCAGGCTTGTGGTCACTTCCACCAGCTGTGTGGAAACTAGCCTTTAATGACTCCCTGGATGCTGAAGTTCACTTTCTGGATTCATCGTGGGAAAAGCACATTCTCAGGCAGCGACTGCACTCACTCCACCTGGCAGTCCACCAGGAGAGTCCCGGTGCCCCTGGGAGAGGACCCGTTGCTCCTCCTGGGCTTCAAAGTGAGGCACAGTAAACAAGGTCCTTGGGGCAACAGGGGACAGGTGAGTGACGTGCTCTGGGAGGAGAGGTCCTGTCATTCTGCCCCTGAAATACAGGGCCAGGCGCAGCCTTTCCAAGACTCCTCACTGAGTCAGGGAGGCCGACTGCCTGGAGCAGGGCCCTGCAGCCCTGGGCCTGGGAGAGAGAGGAGGGGAGCCCAGGACTCTATTCCCCCTGCCCAGTCCACGCCTGGTAAGGACTGCATTTGATGTCTGGCTTCCTCCTGAATGTCCTTCCTCTCATGACATGCCCACATCTTCTTCTCTCTTAGTTCCATCAACTGTTCTGTTCTTTTCTGCAGACACGGTTTCCCTCTCTGATCTGGCCTGTGTTGAAGTCGTGTGTACTTCTTAGCTCTCCAAATCCATCCTGTCTTCAACTGAGTTTTCCTTTAACACTGAGAGCACTTGGTTTCCTCTGTGCTGGGTCCTGTCCTTCCTGATTAGAGCACAGGTGAGAGTTCCCCCCAGTCCCGCCCTTGACCTCTGGGTCTCCTGTTCCCTGGTCTCTGGGAGGCGCTGCCTCCATTCAGTGCCTCCATGGATGCGGGGTTATTCTGGAGCAGTTTAGCTCCAGGGTCACTTCATTATTTCTTTTCTGCTCTGTAGCTAGTTTTAGTTTCTCTTCCAAGATTCCTTTTACTTTTCATACATGTCCAGTTGGAGGCGTAGCCTAATTTTATCATGTAACAATTGGTGGGTTCATTTTATTGGATGCGGCTTAACTGAGTCATAATCAATGGTGTTTGAATAATACTTTTATGGTGGAATACAGACCTCAAGTGAGTTTTATGCTGATTTTCTCCCAGTAGCCTTAATAATCTCCCAAATGATTCATATGTTTAGCCAACATTATTGTCTACAATTTAATCTGTGTAGGTAAAAAAATAATGTTGCCTTCTTCCCAGTGATTATCAACTATTCCTTCCGTATTAACAATAAAACCCTCTGCTTTCATGAGGGGCAGAAGCAGAGAGAGAGAGGTTATCTGCACTGGAATCTGATATGAGAGAGAAGTTTTCCATATTCAACCCCAAACATGGTATTGTTGACATTATTGATATTTTTCACAGAAACAAATCCTTTTTACTCCTATCTCAAAAACTTTTAGCTTTATATGTGTGGCCTTTAATCCCATGATTTTCTGGGTCTATTGAGGTTGATGATGAGATTTCTCTTTGACTCTACTCCTGGGGGTGGTCACACAGCTGACCTTTCTAATCCTGAACCTCCTTGCACTTATGACAACTCACTTGCTCATTTTGGGATACCTTTGGCACAGTTTGGAATTGCTGTCAGCCATGATTTTGTGCAGATTGCTTTTTATCTGGAAGTGGAAGGACACACTCTTGTCATCAACGTTTCAACTGCATTTCCTCTGTTGTGAAGGCTCTGCTGCCCTCACAGTGTGATTAAGAGAAACCACTTTCCTGCCCTTAGGAAGGGTTTGCAGATGTTTCTGCATCTGGTGGTTGGCATCCTACGCTGTTGAAGCATTCCTTGGGAATCCTTAGGAAGCCCTTTTCCGCAATATTCCATGTCATGCTGGCGAGCACTGCACTGTGCTGCTGCCTGCGGGTCTGAAATCTAAGGTAAGTCGAGTCTCCTAGGGTTTTCTCATGTCTCGTTCCTCTGAATTCACTGACATAGTCCATCCAACATCACCTTTTCACACACACCTGTGGATTCTCAGTGTCTTTCTCACACTGTACACCTGACACTGTGGAGCCTTCACATGGGGCAGAGGGACAGTCTCACAGGAGGGGTTAAATGCAGTAGTCTTTCCAAGGAACTGTGTTTGCCTTTGCTTTTCCTTTCTATTGAGGTTCTTTGATATTTTTCTGCTGCCTTCACAGAAATCCTCTCTCCCTCCTTTTCTAGGGCTCCTTCTGCTGTTCCTGTTCTAATGCCATCATTCTTTCACAGGCTCTCATCCAGTCTTCACATTTACTTCTGGAAGGCACGTCCACAGTGCTTTCCATAATAGAGTTTAAGTCACCAGGTGGTAAGTAAAAGGTGCTTTGTGTTTTGAACATACTGAAGATCAGGGTTTTCCTGTTTGTCTTTTGTGACTCCAGATGAATTGCCATGTCACATGAGCCCTTGCACTTGTGGCCCTCACTTCAGGGCTGGCTGCTGGGTGCATTTCCCTGCTGCTTCTTCAGTGCCTGGGGAGAAAGCTGGGATCTCACAGTGACTGTGGGGGTGGTGCTTTTATAGCAGTTAGGTGGAGTGTGAACTGACCTGTGGGTTTGTTGTGTTCTGACCTGGTGTGTTCCGCCCACAGTGATCCACTAAGGATGTGTGTTTACACCATAAATACTGATGCCATGTGTATATGAGGACAGCCATTTAAGGGGTGCATTTCAATGCAGTGGGTTTTGTATACCCAGGGGTTCTGTCCCCTAAAGCACATTTCCCAACATATGGAGGGCGACACCTTTAGGTAAGTCAGTGTGCAGTTTGTGATCATCATTGTTCCCTGGAAGTCCCCCTGTCTCCTTCACTGGGTGGGTCTTACTCAGCTCAGGTGCTGGTGCTGCAGGCCAGTTCATCTGCTCTGACTGGGACTCTCCGGGACCTGCTGAGGAGCTCATGCTGTTGCTTTTGACCCATGTGCGTTTGTATGTACAGTGTGACTCTATTAGACAGCACACAGGGGTCCACCACTATTCGAGTCACCCTAGAGTCCTTAGTGTGGATCTGCTGTACAAAATTACAGCCCACCCACAGCAAGACACATGAGACGTGGAATTTTTCAGTCTTGCAATCTCGGCCTTCAGCTTAGTCTGTTTAATTCAGTTACTTTTTACAGATTTATTCCAACTTTATTGAGGTCTAATTAACAAATATTACCAATATTCTTTTAGGTGAAGAATGTGTTGACCTGGTGTACTCTGTAAAATGACCACAAAAAGTCAAGTTGGTTGGCGAATCAAAGTGTGTGTTTATGTGTTGAGAGTATTTAAGATCACTTTTCAACAAACTTGAAGTACACCACACCTTAATACCATCTTCTTCTTGTATGTTACCTTGGACATGCTGAAATTACTTCTCAAGTGCATGAAAGTTTGTACCCTTGATACCACGTCTCAGTTCCCAGCTCCCAACTACTTGCACCCACCTCTCTCCCTCCCTGTTCCTCTAAGTTCAACATATTTAGGGTTCACGTACAAGGGAAATCATACAATATTTCCCTTTCTATCTGGTTTCTTTGACAAATAAAATGTCTTCTAGATTGAAGACATGTTGACACAATTGAGAGGCTTTCTTCCTGCATGTGAAGGAATATTATTTCATTGCATATGTGTGTGTGTGTGTGTGTGTGTGTGTGTGTATCATGTATCCATCCACACATCACAATCATTTAATCCTTGTGTTCATCGGTGGACACGCAGGTTGTATCTATATCTTGGTTTTTTAAACATGCTGCAGGGAATGCAGGAGGCAGACACCTTTGAGAGACTGATGTTAATTCCTCTGTGTGTGTTGAGGCGGGATTGCCAGGGCACATGGTTGTTGCACTTGCAAAGTTTTGAGCCAACTCCACCCAATTTCCATGAAGGTTGTTCCATTGAACTCCCACCAGCAGTGCCCATGAGTCTCCTTTGATTCCCATCTCAACTCCTGCTTGTTCCTCTTGCTTTATCATAATGGCCATTGATGAAGTTACATCTCATTCTCATTTTGATTTTCGTTTCTCTCATGGTCTGTGAGGTAGAGCACCACTTCATTTGCCTTTGTCCATTTAAAGAACTCTTTAGAATAACTGTCTATTCATGACACCTGTCTATTGAAATAATATTCTTTTCTTCTGAGTTGTATCATGTCTCTTTATATATTGTGGAATTAGCCTCCTGTCTGATATAGTATTTGTGAACACCTTCTCTGATTCAAGTTGCTTTTTCTACTTATTACTTTTTGTCACGCAGTAACTTTTTAGTTTGAATTGATCCTTCTGTTTCTTTTTCCGTCACATGTAGTTTTGTTGTCATATCCAAAAATATATGTCAAGTAGGTTTTTACTTATGATTTTGTCATAAGAAATCATATGGGGACAGATCTTACATTACATCATTAATCCCATCTGAATAGATGTTTTTGTGTGATAGTAGGAAAGGGTCCGCCATCATTCTTTGCATGTGAAAATCCAGATATTCCTTATCCCACAATTACAGGGATTTTCTTTCTCCATTGTGAGTTTTTGATGCCCAAAGTTTAGGTGACTCTATATGTTTGAGTTTACTTCAGGAATCATCATTCTCTTCAGTGGTTAACATTACTTTTATGACACTAATGTACTTATTAGATTACTAGAGTTTTTTGATAATGTTTAAAATCATCAAGTGTAATGATCTCAAAGTTTAATACATCTCAGCAGAGTTTTGGCTATCAGGTATGTTTGTGGAGAGCCACAGACTTTCAGGATTGGTTTTTCCAATTCTCTAAAAACTGGTATTAGAATTTTCATTGAAATTCCATTGAATCCATGATCCAATTCAGTAGCCTGGGCATTGTCCCAACATTAATCATTTGTTTTCCCTGCCTAATTGCTGTGCTAGGACTTCAAGTATCATGCTGAGAAAAGAGGCAACAGTGTGCTTATTAGAGGAAAAGCCTTTGGCTTGTCGGTATTGAGTATGATGTTGGGGTGAGCTTCTCACTCAATGTCTTCACTATGTCAAGGTACATTCTTTTCATGCCTAATTGCTTGAGAGTTTTTATCATGAAAGAATGTTGATGGTATTTGCACATCAATTGAGGATGCTGCTGTGTCTGCATCTATTGGGAGGATCAATCACTTCACATTTCCTTTGGCTAATATGAGCATCCATTGATTCAGTTGTGTGTTGATACATACTTCACCCCTGGTGTAAATCCCAGTCCTTCAGGTTGAATGATCCTTTTAATGTGCTGTTGGATTCTGCTTGTTATGATTTTTTTAAAGTGCATGCAAGCATGTTCTTCAAAGACACTGACCAGTAACATTCTTACCACATAGTGTCCTTGTCAAGCCTTTGTTTTGGGATAATACCATTTCTGCAAAATGAGTTTGGAACTAATTTTTGTGCTTATATATTTTTTGATGTATGAGAGAATTAGTATTATTTTTCAAATGTTTGTTAAAACTCAGCATTGAAGAACTCCTGTCCCAGACTTACCATCAATCTACAATTTAAAAATACAGATTCCATCTTTCTCATTTGAGTTAACCCAGATAACCTATTTCTTTATGATTCATTCTTGGTAGTTGGCATGTTTCTAAAGTTTATTCATTTTTGTAATTAATTTAATTGCTTAGAATACAACTGTTCATAAGAATCTCTGATCCTTTGTGGTTATACATTTTCCCTCTGCTCATCTAAGTGGGGCTGATCCCATTCATCCACAAAGATTATGCAGCTTGTGTATGAAATGTCCAGATGAGAGACTAATGTCATCCCTGTCCTCCTGCCCCTGGCCAGAGGGAGTGTGGACTACATCAATATAGAAGAGAATATTGTGATCTGGATGATAAAATCAGGAAATGGCAAATGTCCCAAGAAAGGAGAAAAGATGTCTAAAAGAAGGTCTCTGGCTAGGGTGAGGAGGGAGAGAGGCCATGCTTAGTGAAACTAGGGAAAATAAAATGATCAAAACATTTGAGGTTGAGACTGAAATCATCATATCATGATTAAAGACAAGATGTATTTTAAAAAATGAGAGTGTGGTCGCCATGGTAATCCGTGACTAGTTCACAAATTCAAACCATTAAAACTCACAAAATTTAAACTGCATAGTTGGTGGAAGGCACAAAAGAACCTGTGGAGGAACAGGACTCCAAAACTGTGGGAGTTCAAAGAATAATTTGAATACTGATCCCTTAATAGGATAATGACAGTAGGATCCCTGCAGCACAGATCATGCCCAAGCAGGGATTGTGGTGAAAGTGTAGCCTGAGATGACCTGAGAATGTTCTCATGGACTTGCTCAGTGTGGAGACACATGTGGAATTGACCAGAGGTCCAAGAAGGACTATGGTTCAGGTGAAGGAAGAACTGGGTGAGGGAGAAAGTATCCCCAAGCAAATGAAATAGTGAAATAAACTCCAAAATCCAAGAAGTATGGTTGAGATATTGACCTCATTCATTTCATTGTTAACCTAAATGAACATCTTATCCCTTCCTCTGCAGTTACATTTTGGAAACTAATTCTGTTCCTGTAAGAATCAGACAAAAATGCCAGACCAAAAAGTAGCTTTTATTCATGCTGCAGTCCTCAGGATACAGGGTCCTTTGTTATCCTGGGTTATCAACCACGATGTGAGTGCTGGTTCTGCTGGACCTTCCATGTTATGGGGTTTGTGTGGAGCACTGGGGAATATTGAGCAGCAATCTTGGCCTCAGCCTTCTGCATTACAGTAGCCCAGCCCAAGATGTGAGCACCACAAATGTCTCACATCATTGAAGTTTGACCTATGGGTATGAAGGGAGGTTGAAAACACTGTGTCTGATGAGTTTTTAACAGTTATCGACTTGGCAGAAGAGTGTGTGTCATGAAAATCCAACACAGAAGTGCACAGAGTAGTCTTCCTGTTATAAGGATCCTGCTCTTTAGAGAGTAGAGAGTACAGAAATGTAGGTTGAAGATAAAACATAGTCTGGGGCTCAGAGGAATATGTGCCTTATAACCCGCACATTTGTCTTTTACACAGGCCAGTGTCCTAAATGCTTGATGTGCCTTGATTTCCACCTTCTTTGTCCACCTCCTGCTGTGATCTGTTGTTCCCAGGAATCCCTGGAATCCAGGCTCTGGAAGTGTCTCACCACGCCCTGAAACACAGAACTGCACATTCCATCATCTTCTTCTCCTCCTAAACCCTAATACTATTGCAAATCTATGTCTTAAAAATAATTCTAAATAATTATTTCACATTTGGGGCCTTATTTCCCTCAATAAAATCTTCTAAGCTATCATTAAGATAATGTTCCTGGGCTGATGTAACTCAATTCTCTGCACCTGCCCAGCATACAGGAAGACCTGGATTCTGTCCTTGCACACAGCAAGGTCATAATAAGGAGAAAATGTTCCCAAGTGACACAATGTTTGGTGTATTTCTAGTCTCACAGCTATGCGTGGGAGTCACGGGGAACTTGTTCCTCTTCCTGTTGTACATGCACACCTTCTCAGTCCAGCGTCACATGAAGCTTATGGATCCCATTTTTTCCCACCTCACCTTGGCCAATACTTTGACAATCACGTTCACATTGACACCACATATAGCGTCATCCTTTGGAGTCAGACGATTTTTGGATGATGTTGGTTGCAAAGCAGTCCTGTATATGTACAGAGTGACTCGGGGTGTTTCCATCTGCACCACCTGTCTCCTGAGTGCCTTTCAAGCCATCACTGTCAGTCCTAGTAACTCTAAGTGGGCATGGCTTAAATTTAAGCTCCATACACAGATTTGTCCCTCGTTCCTTTTCTTTTGGATCATCAACATGCTTATATACATCCACGTCATTGAAACCATAACAGCCACTAGAAATTTGACTCTGGTTAGTCGTGCTTATGTTCATCCATACTGCCAAACCAGGCAGTTTGGAAACCAAAACTCAGGGACATTTCTAAGTCCCATCTTGATTCATGACCTAGTGTTTGTGTTCCTCATGATCGGCACCAGCCTGTACATGGTGAATCTCCTCTACAGACACCACAGGAGAGCCCAGCACCTCCACAGCTCCCGTGTCTCTTCTCAGACATCTCCGGAACACAAAGCCACCCGCACCATCCTCTTGCTTGTAAGTTGCTTCGTGGTCTTTTACTTCTCAAACAACTATGTGACTCTTTATTCTTTTTATGCACACAAGAAAATCCCAAGGCTGGAGGGGCTGAGTGGAGCTTTATCTTCATGCTACCCAACCATCTGCCCGTTTTTGCTGATGAAAAACAATAAAGTTGTTTCCCAATTTACTTCATCCTTTTCACAATAAGAATTACAGGTTTCCTAAGAGCATTTGATGGCTGAACTGACCCACCATGCTTATAGAGAAGAGAGTCCCTCAAGATTCGTCTGGGAAAAGGTTTTTTCTTGTTAACTTGACCACTTCAAATGGCACTAGTCTGAATTCATATGCTATACAAATCTATTGTGCTCTCACAATAGGAGACTTAGTTTGAGTAAGTGTATGTATGTATCACTGCAACAATTTTCATGTTGATTACATCCTTAAATTATTATTCTTTTTATTTTTTTAAAGAGTGAGAGAGAGTGAGAGAGAAAGAGAGAGAATTCTTCAATATTTATTTTTCAGTTTTCAGAGGATACAACATCTTTTCTTTGTATGTGGTGCTGAGGATCAAACCCAGGCCGCACACATGCCAGGCGAGCGTGCTACCGCTTGAGCCACATCCCCAGCCCTATTATTCTTTTTAAAGTCAGTGCATTTTCTATATGACATTAAAATGATTTATCTGCTTGCTTTGGCTTTTTTAAATAGAGCTACAGAAAATATAAAATTACATTTGTGGATTTCATACTTCTATTAAAATGTGCTGGCCTAAGAAACTGCTTCTATGTATCTGTGTTAGGGAGCTATTTTGCTACTTTGACTAAAGGACCAGACCAGAACCACTTTGAAGGAAGACAGGATTATCTGAGGGCTCATTGTTTCAGAGGTCTCAGTCTATAGGCTGGCTCCAATCCTCAGGCACAACATTAGAGAGAACATCATGGTGGGAGACTGTGGCAGAGGGAAGCAGCTTCAACCATGGTGATCAGGAAGCAGAGAGAGCGCTTTCCACTTGACAGATACAAATATAAATACCCCAACACTATGCCCCTAATTCTCACCTCCTGCAGCCACACCCTACCACTTCACTTAATTCACTGATTGGGTTAAAACTCTTAAAACCTAGTCATTTTGAAGCCAGATTTAAAGATGAGTAGTTACTGTATTTAGGTAAATTGGGTCTAATATCAAGTAGAATAAAGAAAATGGAGACCATTATCGAGAATGGAGTCCAGGAAACCAGAACAACACCTGGGGAAATTGAAAAGTGAATGTCCTCAAGGCCCGGAACCCATCCTAAGGAACTAATGAAGCAGCTCCCAGCAAACAGGCAGGTGCTAATCAGACCACCCCAGGCCCTTCCTGCCCAGGTTACTCCCCCCAGCTCCATCAGTCCCCCTGTCTCCCACATTTTGGCCTTCCCACCTGCTTCTATCACTGCAGGATAGAAGGAAACAAAAGACAGAAATGTGGGAGACTAAAAGAAGACCTTAGACATAAAAAAGGGACAACCTCCCCTTTCCACGGATTCTGCCTTTCCACATTTTGGGTCCCCTTCTTCCTCTGGGAGGAAGTCTTTTCTGCTATCCTTTAATAAAGCCTCCACTTTCCACTCTACACTTGCCTCAGCGAGCTTCTCTGGTGTTATACTTCAGCATTTGGGGAAGCAAGGACTCATCATCGGTAAACAGCAGTAACAATTTCTCCTCTGAACCTTCTTGCATTGTCTCACACATTGTAAGGGTCCAGCGAACATCAGAGGAAGAGACCACCAAGAGACCAACTCATGCAACAGCAAAAGGGGGTTTATTGGGGATCCAATCCTGCCCGCTGGGGCTCCAGGTTCACTCAAGAAGGGAGAGAGACCAAGAGCTTAGAGCAAGGGTTGAGCAGTGCTTAAGTACACTTGTTGGGGAGGGCAGGGGCTTTGCATACATCAGAGCAAATCATCATGAGGCGCGGGAAAACTGAACAACTCTCAAACATGATTAGTACATTCATTTGTGGGAACAGGTCGGGCGGGGATGATAGGTCAGTCCTAAGAAGGGGGGTACATTCAAACTCATTGGTTTGGGCCCTGAGGTGCCTACGTGCTGAGCTGTACTGGGTCCAGGTTGTTAAACAACGAAGTGGTGGTACCGGGCATTGTCTTACATGCCTCAGGAATTTCAGGTTCTGTGTGCAGTTCAGAAACTTTACAATACCTAGTCCTTTACATTTTAACTTTAGTTTCATTTATCCTTTCAACATGAGCTTTTGGGGGACACCTCACATCCAAACCATAAGATTCTGGGCCTGGCCCCCAAAAGCTCACACTCACCTGATCATGCAACATACATATACTCCATTCCCAAGAGTCCCCATACTGATCAGTTCCAAGATTGCTCACGGTTCAAGTGCATAGTCTTCTCTGAGTCTCAAAGTACTCTCACATTGTGAGCACCTGTAAAAATAAAAGCGACTTACAAGTGTCCAATATATAAAGGTATAGAGTGAACATTTCTATTTACAAAACTAGGGGCATAGAGAAGGGATGGAACCAGAGCTAGATTGAATTCCAGTTGGGCAAACAAGTCCTGTTCTCCTGTCCAGCCCCTGGGGCACAGGGCATCATCTTGTTCTCTCCAGGCCTTTCTGTGGGCTTTTCTCTGCTTGATTCCTGCAGCTTTTGTAGGATGATGTCTCACATTACTGGCATCTCTTAATCTCAGGTGTCCACTGCAGCTTTGGCTTCCTCCTCATATCTCCACACTTGGACTTCTGGGGGACCCTGCAGGGACTCAGGCCCTGCTATGCCTTTCCTGGCCTCCAAGGCCTTCCTTAGAAATCTTAGTGGAAGCCTCCATGATGCCCTAACTCCAGCATCCTGCATTCCTGAAGAACTAGCACCATGTGCTTGATGCCAAGGTCTAGTGCCATCTCTCCATTTCAAGCAGTAGCCAAGCCTCCAGGGACCCTGGTGGTAGCAGCCTCTGAGTGGATGGGTAGCTGAGCATGTTGTAAAACTTCCTAGGCCCCCTAGTGCAAAAAAGTGTGCCCCAAAGGTCTTTTCTCAAGAGAATTTTTACTTTTATTTTCTTGAGTCTGAGATGGGTGTAGTCCTGCAAATTCCAGAGATGCCTTCAGGCCATCTTTGACATTGTCTCTGGGCCAATACTTTAGCATTTCTTTAGTGGCCTTAATGTCTTTAAAAACTGCAACTTCCTTAGCCTCCTTTCATTCTGGCCTTTCAAGTCCAGGTTTTTCAAATCTTTCTGCTCTGCTTTCTGCTCCTGAATATCACAATGAACTAGGCTAAAAGCCACCAGCAATATCCACACCACCACCTGAATGCTATGATGAATAGAAATTACTTCTGCCCAGTTAAGAAGTCCATCACTTTTAAAAATCAGCCTCACAGAAGGTCTCAGGACATGGGCAAAATGCAGACACCTTCTTAGCCAGAAGAGAACCCCAATGGCCTCTAGTCCAATTACCCATAGGTTCCTCCTTTTCCCCTAAACCCTCTTGATCCCTCTCTTCACTGTCCATGATGCTATTGGCATTCTGGTCTTTTGAGCTCCCACCAGAAAGCTGCACTGATCACAGTCTAAAGCATTTCCAGCTTCAATTGCTAAGCATCTCAAAATTCCTCCCACCAATTCCCAAATGCTGCAAAAATGTATGAACCACAATATCAGGTTAGTCCAGCAACAACCCCACTTCTTGGCACCAACTTCTGTATCAGTCAGGGTTCTCTAGGGGAACAGAATCAACAGTAATTATGATTACAAAAAGTGGATTTATTAGATTGGCTTACATGACTGTCCCGTTGGTGGCAGATACCTAGGAACAAAGCACCAAGCAGGAACAAAACACAAACATCACGCATGGGCACAGGAAAGAAACAGCAATCAGGAGCCTGGAAATGCCTGTCAATCAGCAGGACCCCCTGGCCAATCCTGGAGTTTCCCAGCTCCCCTGAACAACTCCAGCGGGACAAGGGACCCCAAAAATCCATCTTCCTGTTCCAAGCCCTTCCCTTCCTGCCAGGAGCCCCATAAAATTCCAGTCCTGTCAAGGTCCCACATGGTTTCTCCTCTGACCTTTCTCCTGTCCACTCTGTGGGTCTGACCCAGTCCCCGCCAGGAGAGAGTCTCAAATAAAGCCTCCTTTGGCGGTCTTTTTAAATCTGCGTCCTTTGGGCTGGGGCTGTAACTCAGTGGTAGAGCTCTTGCCTAGCATGTGTGAGGCTCTGGATTCGATCCTTAGCATCACATAAAAATGAATAAAATAGGGCTGGAATTGTGGCTCAGAGGTAGAGCAATTGCCTAGAAAGTGTGAGGCACTGGGTTTGATCCTCAGTACCACATATAAATGAATAAATAAATAAAAGGTCTATTGACAGCTAAAAAATATTTAAAAATAAATAAATATAAATAAATAAATAAATAAAGGCATTCTGCCCATCTACAACTACAAAAAAAAATATGTTTGTTTTTTTTTTTTAGTCTGCCTCCTTTGGTCGCTGCCTGCCTTACCTGATCTCACAATGACCAGAAGCTAAATGGATGAACTGAAATGGCATCCCTTCTCTCCACAGAAAATGTCTTAACTGGGCTTCTCCAGGAATTCTCACTATGGCTGATTTCAGGACTGTCAGCCAAAGAGTCTCTGGGAAAAAGTTCAATATGGATAAATTTCCATTTTCCTGTTGCCCTGTTTTGCTTGGCCACCAGCCAGCAAGATACCAGCACTCCAGGTGCTGGGCACCCCCTTAATAATTTCAAACAAATGTATCCAGTATAGTAGTTTGTAGAAATGTGCTAATGAGGCTTCTGACCTTGAGCTGGGCTTCACACAGATGTCTACATTTTTTAGGAGAAGATACCAACTGGGCTCCACGGTAACAGCTGGCAGGGGAAGAAAGAAAGGGGAGAAGAAGCTCTCCCCTTCACAGGTGCTGTCCTTGAAGTATTAACTTGCCCAAAACAGCGAAGGAAAAAGCTGCTTTTGTGTGAACTTTTGTAGACTGTGAACTTCTGAGCCCCTCCCCTTACATGCTGGGTATAAAACTCTGAAATTACCTGTATTCAGGGTTCAGGGGTTTGATTGATTACAGCAAAGGCTGTACCCTCTGAACCTGGCTGCAGCCAAATAAAACTGTTTCCTGCTACCTTCGGTGCCTTGCCTTGTTTGTCCCTACTATATTTTTGGCGACCCAGATGGGACACAGGAGGTAAGGAAGGCTATTGTGCCTCTCTTGTCTCTGGGGACAGGATTCCCTGGGGCTGTGAGGGACAGCCTTCCCCTTGGCATGCCCAGGCCACTCTTAGCCTGAAGGAGGATCCACTCACCCAGCGCCCTGGGGCTGCCACCCTGGAGCACAATGGGACCCCCAGGCAGCAGGAACCAGAATTAGGGTCTGGAGCACCACCCAGCTGAACAGGTAGGACCGGGGTCCATTTGGTTTGCAGCCCACCTGACTTCCTCTTCGAGGCCTAAGTGGGTGGAAGAGAGGCCTGATCACCCTCTGTTGGGTC